TCTTATGTAAAATATCATGAATTATTACTCTGCAATACATGTTCTTTTTACCATTAAACTTTTTCAAATACATAGATTTACGATATGAATATTGTTTTTAACACGTTTTATATTACTTTTTTCGCAAAAAAAATTACTTTTGCATGTCGTAAATTTTAAATAAAATATTGAACTTTATATTTTTAAGAATAACGATAAATTTCACAGTAATACATTACACAGCCATATCCATTTTTCTCTAGTTTCTCAAAACTAAAATCGTTTGATAAGAAATCGTCAATTTATTTACTTTTGAATTCAAGATAATTATTAATATTTATAAAATTTTAAAATTCTTATGCTCATAAAAATATTTGTGGAATTGCACTCAACTTTTTTTTATATTACATGTTGTAAGAATCACTTATTATTCAATGTTTAAACTTTAGGTATGTATGGATTTTATACTACAAAATAATTTTCAAATTTTGGCGATTTTGATTGATTTTGTAAATATTGAACTTCAAACTCTTATATAAAAAAAAATTGTGACTATGTATTTTCGATATTTTTTAAGTGGTATATGAATAATTTATGATAAACCTTTCAATATATGTTGAACTTTTTTGCCCTGAAACAAATATTGTGTCATATCTGCCTATATATAAAAAGAAAAACAATTTTCAATTCCTATAAATAGCACTAAAATGCCTAAAATATTGTGAACATTATTTAATATTTTATAAATTACAGTAAGAATATTCTGTAAAAAATATAAGGATTTTCTGTTATTTATTTTTGAGTACCTAACAACACTATCAAAAACACTAACGATTTAACTTGTTATATTATGTATCTATAACTGTTATCTGTTTCACGAGGTCTTCGAGTTTATTTTAGGATCATATAGTTATTAAAGTTCCTGTATACACATATATATTGTATTACCTTTTGGTGCTCATAAAATCATCCATAATTGTATTCGAATATGTACTTGTAGTTTATCTGAATAGGATATTGTTCAAACAGGAATGTATACCAAAAAAATTATCTATCTAAAATATTGTTCGGATACTGCTATTTTCTAGATACAATGCAGTAAGTATATTGATGTTATTTTTATTCAAAAAAAAAAAGAGAATATTATACAATCGTTACAACAAAATATAGCTTGTTGTCCCTTTATCCTTTTGTCATGCATACAATATGAACAAATTAACATAAATATTATTTAAAAATATTTGGTTTTCAGATCCTGTAAGGATGAGTGCGTGGAGTCTTTATACTACTGTACATAAATATTACTCAATATTTAGTTTCAAACTGCTAAATGTATCTTTTATTACTTATTTGTTGAAAAATGTATTGGTAGGAGGTTCACGAAACAGAAATATATCTTTTAAATATTTTTATTTCGAGGGCGTCATTATTAGCTAGGTTGTAATATTTGGTTGGATTAATCGGTTGTAAAACGATTTTAGTTTCCATGTTATTGCTTTTATTTTTATTTAAATATATTTTGCGGCGATCAAAAGAGTTCAATAAATGTTATTTGAAGCCTCTACAGAATCAAACTTATATAGAGGAAAGATACTTTAAAATAAGTATTTAGAAACAAGACACACAAATATTTAACTCTAGCTTCAAGTTACATTCAAAATTTTCGAAAATATACTAGATTTTAGATAGGTATGGCTAGTTTTTACCTTTATATACTTAACACCACTTTTCTGAACAGACTTCGGACTCACGTCTCAATGCTAAATTGTTTAACTCTCGGCAATATTGCCCACATGAAAATTCAAAAAACGTAATTTAAGTATAAATAATACACATAACTACATCGTTTAAGGTACGCCTATCAGGAAAACAAAGCGTGTTAGGTTTGATAAACAATATTTTTTTAGTAAAAAACGATCATATTTTATGCAAATATTTCATAGAGTTTGGTTTTGTTAATTGATTGTTGACCGTTTATCACGGCGTATGGATAGAACTAAATGTAAGTCAATTTTCTCGGCCGTGCCATATTAAAATGTCGAAAACTCCAATATGGCGATTTTGGGGAAATCGACCTACTTATATATAATATATATATCAATTATTGCTTATAAATTACACACCATTGTATTTGTTTCTATTTGCTACAAAACGGCGTAGGGCTAGGATAACTGATGATGGTGTTTATAGTTACGTCAGGGTCAAGATAGTAAGATCGATTATTATCAGAACGAGTGCAAAAGTCTCTGAGTAACTGAACGGAAAAAGTTAAGTAATTCGTTACCATTTAAGATGACCTATAATACGTGGTCTGACTTTTCGAGCTATCGATAAAGACGAATCGTTTATTTTTTTTGACTGGGAATAATAATTAAAACATTTAACGTTTTAGACAAATAAATCGTTATTACATACTTTATCTGAGTCTCGCTGGAAAAATTATGTTTCGACTGTCTCGAGTATAAATGGTACAGGAAATCATTAAAAAAAGACTATGTTTTTCAAAAATGAGTTAGAAAATATATAACATATTATATTTTATTATTATTGCATGTTTGAGATTTAAGAATTATACAGGACATTTTAAGTATGATTTGGTCATAACAATTAACTGTTTTGTTATGATCGACCTAATCGTTATAGCATCATATATTTGGGTACACGATGAATTAATAATTAGGGATCTAGGGTTAAGTTATGTAACACGAACGTGGAACTCTGTACCATGTCGGGACCTTAAAAAATGAAAACCTAATTAATATTATTTTTGGGAAAATAAGTTAGGGCCATTAACAAAACGGGAGAACAAAAAATACAATTCAAATATTTTTTTTTCTCCTTCTTGGTCATAAAACATGTTCAATTTTAGAATGCGTAATGCAATTTAGGCTCATTTCATTTTTGTGAAACATGACTTTTGTGACTTTATTTAGTATGGGGAAATTTAAATAAAAGTGATAAAATACAACAAGTAAATATGAATGATATTCTCGATATGATAAAAAAAATATACTCATAAAATGTTTACGTAAATACAATTTTCATAAAAAAACAATGTTTGTACGAGTACTAAATACGATTATAATACAAAAATATATCACCCCAAAAAATGCTGATGAAATTATAAAAAATAAATGTAATATCACTAATATAGTATAATATATTAATACATAAATAAATATTTTTCCGATTTATATATTTAAATTACTGTGTAATTAAGAATTTTGTAGTTTATATGAATTGACAATAATTGTAGTATGAAATTACTGACGAATGAATCTGAGTATAAAAATTGATAAGATTTAAACGATTGTAACATGTAAATAATTGTTATCTGTTTTAGTTATAGACCGTTTATTTTTTTACTATTATTTATGCACTTAATTTAAGGTTACATTAGGTCAACAATGTAGTTATATAATAAATTAGGTTTAAATCATTCAATTATTTTTTTTTTTTTTAAATAGGAGATTAATATTTTATGAATATCTGAAAATGATCCGATTGTTTCATACAAATTTTCTGAAATGTGGAAATCGTTTCTGTTTTGTGTAAGACTACAGCCCACAATGTGTTTAGCTGACATTTTTAAATTGCATGTTATCACAGTGGAGGCTCAATCTTTATCGTCAGGTATCCAGAGGGATTATCGAAATCCTGAGTTCTAAATAGTGTGATTTCTCCTTACGAGACGCGGGTTATAGACCTACTAACGTCGGTTGGTCAGCGTCCAACTATATTTTATTTATTTTATCGCGGCATTCTGTGTTCCATAATATGTAAATACAGTTTTCATCTATATTCTGTGCATGTCAACTGATGAAAAATATAAAGTTTCACTATTTATGTTTGTTTATGCGTTTCGAGCTGCTTCATTAGCTCTCTCGCAATATTGTATGTTGAGATAACCCAGGGCACATATAATTGTTGGATTATATTTTATAGATAAGGTTACTGATGTTAGAGCCAAAGGATCAGTTAGTTACTCTTCAAATTACCCACATTACTCTTCAAATAGGATATATGCTACTAGGTGAGTCGGACCGGATGTAAACTTTTTGTTTTGTCTATTTTAAGGGCTATTTGAATTCCTTTAATAAAGACTACACATATTCAGCCATGAAGATGCTGCTACGGGTGTTTAATTAAAACTTTTGATTAGAATATTCTGTTATACAACAAAATAAAAGTCATACACTAAGGAAAATACTCTTGCATTTCATTGAGCTCTTAAACACTAAATACATACATCGTTTCATTGAGATAGAGCTTTATATTCTCCATTAGAGATGATTCAAGAGTTATGATTATACTCAGGTGCATGTAATATGTAGATTTTTCAATATTCTGAATGTGGGATTTACAAGATCAATTTGTGCATAAAATAATATAATAACCGAAAATATTACTTTGCCTCTAAGGCAATATTATCAGTAGTCATGGATTGCCATTTCCCGTTTATATTTTTACAACTACCGATTGTGACACCATTACAATTATTGAAACTAAAATTATTGAAAATGTTGGTACTATACAAATAATGATCTTATTAAGCCTTAATCTACAGAAAGTGTAATATTGATATTCTATAGCATAGTGTTACAGAGTTATACGATTTATAATAAATTTGTCTCTGACGATAATTTTAAGTTTTTTGTCTTACACAATTTTGGGTTAAAATTAGAAATCACTTATTTTATAGGATAATGTCTGATATTGGTGTAACACAGCATTCTTTTTTAGCATACTTTAATTTCAAATTTATAATTTTCCATCTGCGCAGGATACTTCTAAGGAGTACAAAAAATTCAAAAATTTGAAAATATGGTCTTTGAGTATACTTAAAAGTTTCAAAAATCAAAATTTGAATGGCCACATTATTCAAGAATAAAAGGAGGCGAGCATGCTCGGCGAATCGCCCTGTATAGACACATTTAGTGTTCAAAAATAGTGCACACTTGAATGATTTAAGCTTTCGGGTAGAATTTTGACTTTGCAAAACAAAAATGTTAAATACGTACCCGCAACGAACGACAAACTGCAAACGACGTGGAAACACAAGAGCCATAGCGCCTGACGGTGCACCGTGCAGTGCGCTTTTTCCATCCCTCAATTTCAGTTTTGTTTCGGCCCCGTCATTTTCCTGAAACAAAACAATTCACCCCGTCAAAACAAATGGTACTATGGTACTACGATTGCATTGTATTTCACTGGAGTTGGGTGCCCGAGGTCGGAGAACATAATGTGCTGTGGATAAAATGTGATTGCGGTTCGCATTCGTTGTGTATATACTTTAACATAACCTTTGTGTTACTATATAGGTATATTGGCGTGGCGCAGTGGTTGTCTTCAGTTACAAAAACTTTTTCTGAAGTCAATCGCCGGCCGGCACCACTAGTTCCCGGATGGGTGACCGCCCGGGCGGTTCTATACACAATTATACACACTTGTTCTTACTAACCGTAAACCCTCCCTCGAAGTTCAAAACCTTCTAAAAATAACCACCCAACGCCCTATGTGGTCACTGATAAGTTGATAAAGACATAAAAAAAAAAAATACAGATACATGTCAACGATAACTTATCTTTGGCTATGCACACAGGTAGTATATATTTGTATATGTTCTGAGCATTTCTTTTACAGAGAGATTGCTTCAATTTAACCCACGGATTTCTACATGCCTCACCGTGTAACATATAATTTTATTTACCGCTATTAATTACACAAACAAAATATTTTTTTTTAGCAGTATTCATTACTTTATACTCTATTACAGACAATATATACTGTTATATGATGTGTTACACGATAGTAGTTACAGATAGATCACAGAAACAAGCAATGTCACTATAAAAAAAATGCTCAGAACATACAAATATATACTACTCGCACATATATTATGGCAACCTAACCGAGTGAAGTCTTGCTGTCTTGTAACTGACTAAGATTTCGAATTCAAAAATTCAAAAACAAACTTGATTTTATACTCGGGGGGCTTGAAAAGTACATACATATTACATATTATGTGCAATGTATGCACCAAATCATCGATATAGTATTTTTATTATATAATATTGAGACATATTTTGTTAAAATCTCGAAAAGAGAACAAAATTGTTATGCGGTACATATTTCGACGGATTTCGATCGTAAACAGTGATACTTTTGAACGTGATAGAGAAAAAAATAATAATGTTTTGAGATAAAATAAAATAAAAATAAAAATCTGTATGTTGTAATTTTTTCCAGGAGTAAGTGTTGACTGTTTTCATATTTATTGTAACAAATTTTCAAATTTTTTTTCATCACACATTTATTTTTGTTGGCAATAATTTATGTACAGACACGCTTGTCTGGGGTTTTATTTTTTCAAATCGATGTAGTGTGTTTGCTTTCAGAGCATGCCAGATAGTATTTAGATAAATGTAGTAGTAATAATATTTTATTGGTGTGACCTTGCAACAAAAAAAAAAAAAACAAGATATAAAAACGATCCAACTTATACACTGTGCGTATTTGGTATAGTAAGTCACGGATCTTTCGATTTCATTATGATGATTGCATAATATATTCTATTATATATATGGTGGATGTCATCATCGACAAAATAGTATAAATTGTATTTTATCTTCAAACGACATCAACGAAAATATACGGTATAGTCATAATATCTGGCCAGAGTGACACATGACTACACTATGAAATCCGTAACATCATAATTGTCTGTACAGAAAACATACTTTCATACTTTCAAAGAACTTCGGGCTCATTGATCATGGAAACATGAAACATTTTTTTCGCCAAAATAGTGTAGAAAAGTCTTACGAAAAACTCGATTAGCATCTTATAATATATTAAAGTGTATGACATTTATAAATTACAATTACACAGAATGTAATCCGTTATTGATATAAGCATTTCAAAAAAAAGATACACTTTATATTTTAGAAGAAAATTTCTGTGGAAAACCTGGTGTTCCCGCGAACAAGGAAACCCGAGTACTTTTGGCGCACGAAAGCACGTCTAACTTAAGGTCGGATTTTTGGTACTGTAACGGCCTCTTAGAGATCATTAAAACGAAAAAAAACTTTTGTAATCGAAAACTCGCTGGCAGCATTTTAGTTGCAGTATACATTTTTTGTTATGAATCCACGATGGTCGTTTCCGTAATTATAATAGCTATTATTGCGCCACGTACCTATATATATATATATATATATGCATTTCTCTGGTTTCAATCGACCGTGGTTTATTATAAAGGTAACTAGATTTATAAAATACATGTTCTAATCAGGTCACAAATATTAGGTATTAAAATTATTAAAATCCGATAACACGGAACGTCACGCCAATGGTGTGTACCCGACAGTCATGATTCTAGCCATCATAGAGCCTGGAGAAATGTGGTTCTGAGAAATAGCGGGATATCTCTGGAAACTCACGACCAGCGGTTCGACCACTTACAGATGATAATATACTATAATATTTTGGTTGTTTTAAATTAAAACCAGTGATTTACAATGACAAAACGTTAATAAAATGATTTTTTGAAACTGTCGACGCATCTCGATTAATATTTACGAGTGGAAGTTTCCTAGTTATTCTGCTACATGCACTCTAATAACGTCAGTTCTTAAGACTAACTAAACGTTTATAGCGTATGTGAAAATATATTATGTTCTTAAATTTTTAAAAAATCAGAATTTGAATGAATTAAGGAATAAAGGAGTTGAGCATGCCTGGTGAATTGCCCTGCAATATGATGCCTTATCAGTTATCAGTGACTCTGGAGGTAGTAGTGATCCGAATTCGAAGGTGGCGATTGTAACGATTTTGTTTTCGAAATTAAATTTTAAATATATTCAAACAATAATCCGATTTACAGTATAAAATAAGCTTGTTTTATAATTCATAATACATTAGTACATTTTAATACCATTGTATAATAATGGCGTCGATGTTGCTAGTCCTGTAATCATGACGTAACACAATTAAATCATAATTATACAATAATTTTAATGAGTATATGTATTGATATTGGATTAATGAAATCATTACGACGGAATCTAGTTTTATTATGTGTTATTACAACAAATGGTTTCTGCGCAATAAGTGTACTTAAGTTGTTATTAATACGTATTATTCAAATAATTTAATATTTGTGTTAAACTGCAAACCTCGTAAAACTAATGGTAATAATACCCATAATTTATTGTTTCAAAATTTTAATATCGTATTGGGTCGAATCTAGATACAACCACAATTGTATACGTAAAATGTTTGAGAAGTTTATACCCAAAAGTTAAACACTGAAAGTACTCTTCCGAGTAGAGAAATGTAAACCGATTAAAAGTGGTGGATATAATAAGTGCTCAAAAATTTCACCTTTGTCAGTTTGTGATAAAATTAGGAGCTGGAATTTTACTTCACTGTTAGGGGACTATTTAAAATTACAAAACGTCGGTTTCTGATTAAGCTTAATTTGTTTTGAAAAGAAAAGTCTTTAATGATAAATTTCACTTAAATGGTTTTTTATTTTAATACTGGAATAATATTTGCCTCGTAAGAATCTAAAACAGTTTGTAACGTCTTATTCTTTATAATCATATTTTATTGTAAAAGGTTATAGTGAAAACACTATTATTAGTTAAAAAGTTTAGAAAATAGATGAAAATAAATGAAATTATACTCATAGTTTTGTTTTAGTTGGTAGTATATTATGAAATGTATAAAAAAAAATCCCATACGAACTAAAGTAATGTTGGGAATAATTATGAATTTTAAACAACTATTATACTCGTACAAATGTTCAAAAAATTTTAAGGATATATTTTTTTTAAGAATAATAAGGATTAAATGACAAAAATAAATTAATTTTTTAAGAATAATGGAAATCGTCATTTTAATTTTTTTTTTTAAATAACTTCCCACAAAGTACAAATTTTGTCAAACGTAATTTTAATATTTTTTAATTCTTATATAAACTACCTGTTTAAAACGATATTGTATTAAATTGTCAAGGATGGTTTTAATTCAAGTCAATTATGTGAGATAAAACGTAGTACTATCAGATGTGAAGTAAACGAAAATGTGACAATACTATGAGACAAATTATTTGAAATTTGCAATGAATATGACTTAATAAACTATACAGTTTAGTGGTGTTTTTTTATTGCTTATGGTAAGGAGATGGTAGATGAACTTTTAGATTCGTCAAAGTTAAGAGTTAAACATTAGTGTCCATAAAATTAGTGATCATATTTTGTATAACATACATTTATTTTTATGCCAATGCAACAAAGTTTTTTTAATACTGTTTGTACTCACTCATCAGTATGGAAGTCAGTGAGTTCGGTTTGAAAATTATTACCGGAACGACATAACCGCAGGGTAAATAAATAATGTATTACAATAAATAAAATACAATATTTATACGTGAGACCGTATCTTTAGGACAGTGTAATTAATTTTCAGGTGTTTGGTATACGTTGTGTCGTACTCCGACGGCTTGCGATTTCACAGCACCATTTGTCATTCTGATGTTTGAAATTATGTCAAACCTACCGTATACGTCCGTTCAGATCTCACACCTGCAGGTGACTTCGATTTATTTTAAAACGCTTGCTAGTAACCGAGAAATAGCCGAGAGATGGGGTAGAAAATCGATATGAATCATACGAAGAATAATAATAAGGTTCTACATTGGAGTTCTAGGGAAAAAAAAATGAAACCAATCGCTAGAGTTCTTTGAGAGATCAACGTAAAAATGTATCTGAAGTTGTAAAAAAATGTGCGTTGAAGTTAATTTCTCTATAAAACCAAAAAATATTTTTTGTCACATTCCGTACAATCTTATTACATACAAATAAATATTTATAGACTTTCATTTGACCTCATTTTTTAAAGGATCTTGTGTAAATAATATAAGCTGCAGGGGTTACTGGAAGATCCAACTCGTGAAATCAACTTTTCTTTAAAGCACTTTTAAACTTCAAACGTTTAAATGTATTTCATTTTTATCACAATAAACTTGGACGTGAAAACGATCATATTTGTTTTATGTACTCACATAATTATCAGTTTATTATGTTCATATTAGTTGATAATTAATTTATTATCTGCATTACTCATATTAATTTTAAA